CCCATCTCCTGCTCACAGGGATTAGTTCAGGTTTGAACATGTGACCCACTGGGGTCACTGAGGTATAAGGAGCATCTGGAAAGTAAGCCTCCTTGACCTTCCAACAATGCTCCCAGAAGTGCCCTTCTTTTTCCCTTTGTGAGTTACCACATGTAGATATGAAGGTTGGAGCTGCTGCAGCCAGTCTTGGTTACCACATGTAGATATGAAGGTTGGAGCTGCTGCAGCCAGTCTTGCTGCCTGAGGGAAGTCTGCCTGAGGGTTCAGATGATACAGAGGGGACTGAATGAAAAGGACAGCTAAGTGCTATATCTAGAATGAAGACTCAACTATACCTAATCACCTGCCCATCTCAGAGCATTTGTAGTGACTGAAACCAACAACTCTATTTGTTGTTTAAATTTGAGTTGGGGGGATCCCTGCGTGGCTTAGTGGCTTAGTGCCTGTCTTCAGCCCAAGGCAAGATCCTGGAGACCTGGGATGGAGTCCCAAATTGGGCTCTCTGCATGGAGTCTGCTTCTCCCTCTGCCTGTGTCTCTGCCTCTCTCTGTGTGTGTGTCTCTCATGAATAAATAAAGAAAATCTTAAAAAAAAAATTTGAGTTGGTTTCTGCTGCTTACAGCAGAGAGTATTTCAACAGACACAACTGAGTTAAGCAAGATTCCATAGGTTACTTACAGAGGGTCCTCCCAGGACCTTTATTATGCTAATGTGCATTGTTAGATTCAAGAGAAACATCAAGTATGTCCTATTTTCCAAATTTATTTGGTTGTAGATTCTGTTCTTTCCCAGCCCATTTCATAGGACAAGATCTAGTCTGACTTCAAGGTTTATAAAAGTGGAAACTGAGATCCAGAGATTTAAACGACTTTTCTAAGGTATTATTAGTTAGTCACAGACTTGGGCCTAAAGTTTAGACCTACTGAATACCAGGCCTGTGTAACTTCAAAGTCACACCCATAGTGGAATTTTAGAAACAAAACAGGATTATAGGGGAAGAGAGGAAAAAATAAAACAAGAAATCAGAGAGGGAGACAAGTCTTATGTACTCTTAATGTAGGAAACAAACAGGGTTTCTGGAGGAGAGGAGATGGGGGACAAGGGTAACTGGGTGATGAACATTAAGGAGGGCATGTGATGTAATGAGCACTAGGCATTATATAAGACTGATGAATCACTACCTCTACCTCTGAAACCAATAATACATAATATGTAAACTTACTGAATTTAAATAAAAAACAAAACAAACAAAAGAAAACTAAAAAAACCAAGTCACACCCCATCCCTGCCCAAAGAGTGAGGTTCCCTCACTCAAGATGAATCTCAAAAGAAGAATCTAATTACTCTTTTGCAGACACTCCAGATTCCTTAGGACCAAATTATAAAGCAAAGTTTGCAAAATAGGGGCTTCCAGCAAAATAAGAACTTCAAGTCAAACAAAATAGGCATGAAGTATTTGAAAAAATTATAGCAGGTTATTTCATTTAAATATGAGGTTATTTCAAATAAAAGTATTAACTTCTAAGCTCCTTTAATAAAGTTCAGACAATCTGGCTATACTAGTCCTATATTGCCACATGCTAACCAGTTCTGCCTCCTGTACAAGAACACCAGTCCCCCTGTTTGCCACAGTGCCCACCATTCCCTATCTCATCTGGACTCTGATGTCGAGGATCAGCTCCCATTTATCAGTACACAGATAATATTGCTTTTCTCTTTGTATCTAGTCTCTCTGATTCATTCAATTACCTGCCTAGCCCTGTAGTCAATTATTTTGCTATATTGAAGAAGGTAAAATTCCCCAAATTGAAATGTTAATATATGTTAAAAATTTTTCCAAGGTTAAGTAAGTTTGGAATAACACTGAGCTAAGGATGGACAGATTTTTTTTACTGTACATCTTTTCTTAGTTCCCTCCTGGAACATGGGTTAAGAGGGCCAATGCATAATTTTTTGATCATAAGTGTCCTTTTTTTGGACACCACCCCTTTGTCATTATTTTTCCACTGAATATACTTTGGGAAATACTGCTACGATAGAACCTCTTATGTCGCTCACTGCCAGTGAACCTGTGGACCAAAGTCTCTTTTTGCTAGGATTGCTATCACCTTGGTTTTTCGCTGTTCTCTGGAAGCTATTTTGAGAACAGAACAACAGCCTAGCCTACATCAGACCAAATCCCACCTCAGGTCAGGATCAGGATCAAGATCAGATTAGGATCTGATCGACACTGGATCAGATCAGGATCTGATCGACACTGGATCAGATCAGGATCTGATCGACACTGACATTATCCCCAAAAACAGGCCCATAATTCTAGGAAGCATAGAGCTGAGGATTTCTGGCAGATAAAGGAGAATCAGATCAAGGTAATTGAGGTCCACACTCATTCTTCCCTAAAGAACCAGCTTCCTGGCTCACCATTGTGTGTCTTCTCTGAGAAACACAACAAAGGAGAAAAGTAGCAAGCAAAAAGTGATGGGGTTGACTGGTGACAGTCTCTTCAAAGAAAGCAACCTGACAATCATTTTCCCTATCTTTATGATTTTATTATTCAAAGTTGAGGAAAGACTAAATCTCATCTCTAGGTGTTCAGTGGGCTAACAACAATCAAAACAATTAGATTTAGCTGAAAACTCTCTCTCTGTCTCTCTCTCTGTCTCTCTGTCTGTCTGTCTGTCTCTCTCTCTCACACACACTCTCTCTCTCTCTCTCTCTTCAGAGAACTTTCTTAGACCTGTAATTATGGCCCTGCAAGCAAAGCCTCCAGAAGACATGTGATGCTGAGGGAGGGCATGGAGTTTTTCATAGAGATTCCCTGGAGACAAATGAGTCCTTTGCATTTGATGATCTCTTAGAAACCCTCTCATCAGCCAGCTCTAAGTTGGTTACCAGTTACCTTCCATTCTCCTGGGAAAGAGAACTCCTCCTTAGAAGAAAACTCCTAAATGGCTGCAGTACATATCTTGAAGCCAGCCCCTTTCATTCTAAGAGTGACCACAGTGACTACAGAACTTTACATGATAAAACAAGGCTCAGAGAAGTTGGGTCACCTCCCTAACATCATATGGTTAATGAGTGATTTGACCCAAGTAGTGTGTATCCAGTTTATCTAATAAAATGTTCTACTACTGCTCTCCTGAAAAACAGGGATGCCTCTTCCCTCCAAGAGTCTCCAAATATGCTCTAGTGTGCTTGTAGTCACACTGGACTAAGAATGGATAAGACTTTATACAAAACTCTTAAATGTTAAGTGAATTTGAACCACCAAAGGAAATGCCACATTAAGGCCTTCTAATTTTAATAAACAATGGATTCAAGGGGTGCTTGGGTGGATCAGTTGATTATGTGGGTTAAGTGTCAGATTCTTGGTTTTGGCTCAGATCATGATCTCAGGGTTGTAAGATCAGCCCCATCTCAGACTCCACACTCAGCACAGAGTCTGCTTGTCCCTCTCCCTCTTCCTGCTTGCACTCTCTCTCTCTCAAATAGATATATTAAAATATATATACAACAGATTCAAGCCTCCACTTTTTAAAATTTGGTTTTAGATAATAATTCTGACTGTAGAGAATTAAACAGCTTCACTGAAATAAAATGATGCTATCTCCCTACTCCATTCCCTCTATAAATAGTAGTAGTAGTAGTAGCAGCCCCAGAAAGATCAGATCTAGGCTCACAAGACTTCCCCATTGGGTTTTGCTTTACCTGATATAGATGAGACACTCCTGGTTATTGATCACTTTATCAGATTTGTATCTCCGGAGGTCTTCCCAAGCATCCTTGATGGCAGTGACTGCCAGAATGATACAGATAGGTATCATGCTCACCTCAGGCTGGAAAGCATTAACCACAGGCACAAAATTCAGAACCACAATGCCCAGAAAATAGAGATTGGCAAAACGGTGTAGCTGTTCAAAGATGTTCTTGGGTATGAAAGACAACACAGTGTACTTGCTGGTCTTAATTTGATTCCCACAGTAATGCCTGTTGGGATTCTCTTTGTAGGACCATCTTTCAAAGGACAAGTTGGAGATTACCACTCGTTTCTTGTCTTCTTTCCTTTTCTGTCTTTTCTTCCCTTCCTTTCTCATCTCTGCTCAATCCCGTCTCTTTAATTCTCATAGCAGGGCATGTGAGTTCCTTGTAAAAGAATTTTTTCCCTAATCAGTTCCATTGTTCAGCTGCTAGTGAGTCATGTCCCTGACATCTTTTACTTGCCTTCTCTGCTGGAAATTTCTCTCTTCTTTCAAAAGGAAAATTAAAAATAAGTAGCTGGTTTACAAACACCAGGTGAGAAATGACAAGGAAAAAGCTTGCGGAGAACAGGTGTGCACCTGCCAGTCCACTTCCTTCTACCTGTTGAGACTCCGCCTGTTGGAATGTAGACGTCACCAACGTGGATCTTCCTTTTCCACCCAGGCAGCCAAGGACAGTTGTGCCAACTCTAGGTCCTAAAGCCTACCTGGTTAAGTTTTAAAAACAAGGAGCCTCAGATGCTTTAAAAATAGTACACATTTTCGTGTTTGGGAGACATTGCCTGTCACTCTCCAAAGAGCTGCGCTTCAACGTGGTCTCTTGAGATGAACTAGTCAGTTCTAGAGTCAATTCTTGAGATTTCAACCCCACTGTTAATAATATAGCATTCTTATACTTAATAATTTGAGTGTTTACACATGTTAAATTAAGGTTTCTAAATCTCAGCGCTATTGACATTCTTTGTTGTGGAGGGCTGTCCTGTATATTGTAAGATGTTTAGCATCATCCTTCTGCCTTTATCCACTACATGTCATTGTCATATTCCTTCCCAATATGGCAGCCAAAAATGTCTCCAGACATTGTCAAATATTCACTGCTGGGAAAAACTGCCTCAGTTGAGAATCACTGAATTAAGTGAACTTAAGAAAACAAAATGAGAAGAGAGACCAATCCTTTGAAAAAGCTGATGAGTTTATATAACCTATTCTCAAGAAAGCAAACAGAAGGATGGTTTCTCTTACCTTTCATATATCCAGATGTTGGAGCAGTTGATCTCTCTATCAAAACGATGTCTCTTGAAGTCCTCCATGCCATCCTTGACCATGATGATGAATAGTACAATGGCCAATGGTAACATGGTGATTTCTCTGTGGAAAACTTCCATGGAGGGCATCCAGTTCAGAATCACCAGGAACAGAAAATAGAGGTTAGCCCATCTGGAAGGAGCAAGAAAAGTGTGAGTGAAAACCATGGGGAAGAAAATATACTCTCCACACTATTTCTTCCCTACTGTTGGCCCTTACCAACTAAAGTGACATTCTCTTTCAGTATCACTTTGAATTATGGTAAGGAATTTAAAGCCACATGCAGTTATATTCAAACTCTAACTGTTCACTAGTTTTGTGACTTTCTGGGGCTTGTTTCAACTTGTATAAAATGGGGATACTGCTACCTACTTTAAAGGACTCATAAATATTACAAAGGATAATATTTGTGACACACACAATAGAGGGCTCTCAATCATAGTAGTTGTTAAATGAATTATAGCTTGATATACAAATTTAGGATGATATCTAGGTAGATATTTTGCTTTATAATTAAAAGATGATCTTTCATGTACTAACTCAAAATTATGGCTTACATTTTTAGGTTTTCCAAGTGCATCTTTCTCCCTCTTGCTACTATGTCTTTGCACATGAAGGTTTGTTGGCAAGAACATTCCCTTGGCTCCCTTTCTGACTTTTGTTTTTACCCAGTTAATGCATTCTCTTCTTTCAGGTTATACTTCAATTGTCACTTCTCCTGGAAGTCTTTTCTGATTTTCTTAACAAGGGCAGATCTCTCTCTTATTCACTGTAAGATTACATATACCTCTCCGTGGAAGTATTTATCTAAGTTCTAATTTTACATCAGTTTACAGAATTCTTAAAATTAAATCTGTTTCTTTTACTAGAAAGTATAGTCAGGACTATCTCTCTCTCTTTTTTTTCCCTCATGTATCTCTAGCAGCTAACACATGCCCTAACACAGATTAGAATCTGCTATTTATTGAATGAATGAATGAGCAAATGAATGACAAGTCTTTTCAAGATATATGCATTTAGATATTAAAGGATAGGTGGCCCAGAGGGCAACATCTTTGTCCAGAAATACTGGCAAAAACTTGGTTAAAGCACATATTATTTAGCTAAGTGGTTGTGTACCTATGAAACTGCTCAAAGAGATTCTGCGGCAGGAAGGTGAGGAAGGTATATTTGGCTGTGCAGATTCTGTTGCCGGAGTATCTCCTGGAGACCTCTGCCCAATCTTGGTGGCACATGCTGTTGTTGGGGAACACGATCCGCTGCTGTGTCAGGTTGTAGCTTTGCCTCCTCTTCTCTTGGGACAACAGTGGTGTGGCTTCTGATGGAGACTGAGGGAGCACATCTCTGACTCGCCATTGCCACCGGTGCCAAGATGAGTCCACTGAAAGAGCCATTTCTGGCAGTAAGTTATGATCTGAAAACAGACACATGTAGTTGCCATGGTCAGAAGTAAATATGTGGTATACTGGCTTACCACTTGTCCACTCATCCATCCAAGATAGATTCTGGGATACAAAGTCAGAAAAATAGGTTCAATCCCAGAAACCATATGTTCAAGAATGAGAGACATAAAGCAAATAATCATATAAATACACAAAAAGCACCATGATAAGCACCATGAAAGCATTTAAGATACAGGGAGGGTGCTGATGACCTTGTTGGACCTATCAGGAAAAGTATGGCCCTGTGGGCTATGGCCCTAGAGGTCAGAATGAGATCTCTATCTTCCTAACATTGGGCTGTCCCTCTCTTTCATGGTCTTCAGTGTCCTCACTGTACTATGAGGAAAACTAATCTTATTCTAATTTTTTCACAAACTTTTTAAGGAATGAATTACATAGTACATAAAAGTATGCTGAGCCATGTCTTAAAGGGAAAGGTGTTTTCTAGCTCTAAAATTTTCTGGGAGGAGGGGCAAGACGGCGGAAGAGTAGGGTCCCCAAATCACCTGTCCCCACCAAATTACCTAGATAACCTTCAAATCATCCTGAAAATCTACGAATTCGGCCTGAGATTTAAGAGAGACCAGCTGAAACGCTACAGTGAGAAGAGTTCGCGCTTCTATCAAGGTAGGAAGACGGGGAAAAAGAAATAAAGGAACAAAAGGCCTCCGAGGGGGAGGGGCCCCGCGAGGAGCCGCGCTGAGGCCGGGGCGAGTGTCCCCAGGACAGGAGAGCCCCGTCCCGGAGGAGCAGGAGCTGCACCAACCTTCCCGGGCGGAAAGGGGCTCGCAGGGAGTTGGAGCAGGACCCAGGAGGGCGGGGATGCCCTCGGGCTCCCGGGGACACTAACAGACACCTGCGCCCCGGGAGAGTGCGCCGAGCTCCCTAAGGGCTGCAGCGCGCACGGCGGGGCCGGAGCAGCTCGGAGGGGCTCGGGCGGCGGCTCCGCGGAGGGGGCTGCGGGGCGGGAGCGCGAATCCAACAGCGCAGGCCCCGGAGCACAGGGCGCCGGGACACAGCCCAGGATCCGGCCTCCCCCGGGACAGGCAGAGGCCGGGAGGGCCCAGGACAGCGAGGACGCTCCTGCCCCGAGCTGAGCAGATCAGCGGCCCCGCCCCGGAGCCTCCAGGCCCTGCGGACGGAGAGCCCCGGAGCTATGCGGAGGCTGAATCCAGGCTTCCAGAGCTGCCACAGCCACTGCGGCTGTTCCTCCTGGGGCCTCACGGGGTAAACAACCCCCACTGAGCCCTGGAGCAGGCAGGGGCAGAGCAGCTCCCCCAAGTGCTAACACCTGAGAATCAGCACAGCAGGCCCCTCCCCCAGAAGACCAGCTGGACGGACCAGTTCCAGGGGAAGTCAAGGGACTTAAAGTCTACAGAATCAGAAGATACTCCCCCGTGGTTTTTTTGTTTTGTTTTGTTTTTGTTTTTTGTTTTTTTGTTTTGTTTTGTTTTTGTTTGTTAGTTTTTTTTTTGCTTTTTGATTTGTTTCCTTCCCCCACCCTTTTCCCCTTTCTTTCTTTTTCTTTCTCTTTTTCTTCTTTTTTTTCTTTTTTTCTTCCTTTTTTCTTTTTTCTTTTTCTCTTTTCTATCCTTCTTTCTCTCCTCTCTTTTTCTCCTTTTCCCAATACAACTTGCTTTTGGCCACTCTGCACTGAGCAAAATGACTAGAAGGAAAACCTCACCTCAAAAGAAAGAATCAGAAACAGCCCTCTCTCCCACAGAGTTACAAAATCTGGATTACACTTCAATGTCAGAAAGCCAATTCAGAAGCACAATTATACAGCTACTGGTGGCTTTAGAAAAAGGCATAAAGGACTCAAGAGACTTCATGACTGCAGAATTTAGAGCTAATCAGGCAGAAATTAAAAATCAATTGAATGAGATGCAATCCAAACTAGAAGTCCTAACAACGAGGGTTAACGAGGTGGAAGAACGAGTGAGTGACATAGAAGACAAGTTGATGGCAAAGAGGGAAACTGAGGAAAAAAGAGACAAACAATTAAAAGACCATGAAGATAGATTAAGGGAAATTAACGACAGCCTGAGGAAGAAAAACCTACATTTAATTGGGGTTCCCGAGGGCGCCGAAAGGGACAGAGGGCCAGAATATGTATTTGAACAAATCCTAGCTGAAAACTTTCCTAATCTGGGAAGGGAAACAGGCATTCAGATCCAGGAAATAGAGAGATCCCCCCCTAAAATCAATAAAAACCGTCCAACACCTCGACATTTAATAGTGAAGCTTGCAAATTCCAAAGATAAAGAGAAGATCCTTAAAGCAGCAAGAGACAAGAAGTCCCTGACTTTCATGGGGAGGAATATTAGGGTAACAGCAGACCTCTCCACAGAGACGTGGCAGGCCAGAAAGGGCTGGCAGGATGTATTCAGGGTCCTAAATGAGAAGAACATGCAACCAAAAATACTTTATCCAGCAAGGCTCTCATTCAAAATGGAAGGAGAGATAAAGAGCTTCCAAGACAGGCAGGAACTGAAAGAATATGTGACCTCCAAACCAGCTCTGCAAGAAATTTTAAGGAGGACTCTTAAAATTCCCCTTTAAGAAGAAGTTCAATGGAACAATCCACAAAAACAAGGACTGTATAGATATCATGATGACACTAAACTCATATCTGTCAATAGTAACTCTGAACGTGAATGGGCTTAATGACCCCATCAAAAGGCGCAGGGTTTCAGACTGGATAAAAAAGCAGGACCCATCTATTTGCTGTCTACAAGAGACTCACTTTAGACAGAAGGACACCTACAACCTGAAAATAAAAGGTTGGAGAACCATTTACCATTCGAATGGTCCTCAAAAGAAAGCAGGGGTAGCCATCCTTATATCAGATAAACTAAAATTTACCCCGAAGTCTGTAGTGACATATGAAGAGGGACACTATATCATACTTAAAGGATCTATCCAACAAGAGGACTTAACAATCCTCAATATATATGCCCCGAATGTGGGAGCTGCCAAATATTTAAATCAATTAATAACCAAAGTGAAGAAATACTTAGATAATAATACACTTATACTTGGTGACTTCAGTCTAGCTCTTTCTACCCTCGATAGGTCTTCTAAGCACAACATCTCCAAAGAAACGAGAGCTTTAAATGATACACTGGACCAGATAGATTTCACAGATATATACAGAACTTTACATCCAAACTCAACTGAATACACATTCTTCTCAAGTGCACATGGAACTTTCTCCAGAATAGACCACATACTGGGTCACAGATCGGGTCTGAACCGATACCAAAAGATTGGGATCGTCCCCTGCATATTCTCAGACCATAATGCCTTGAAATTAGAACTAAATCACAACAAGAAATTTGGAAGGACCTCAAACACGTGGAGGTTAAGGACCATCCTGCTCTAAGATGAAAGGGTCATTCAGGAAATTAAGGAAGAATTAAAAAGATCCATGGAAACTAATGAGAATTAAGATACAACCGTTCAAAATCTTTGGGATGCAGCAAAAGCAGTCCTAAGGGGGAAATACATCGCAATACAAGCATCCATTCAAAAACTAGAAAGAACTCAAATACAAAAGCTAACCTTACACATAAAGGAGCTAGAGAAAAAACAGCAAATAGGTCCTACACCCAGGAGAAGAAGAGAGTTAATAAAGATTTGAGCAGAACTCAACGAAATCGAGACCAGAAGAACTGTGGAACAGATCAACAGAACCAGGAGTTGGTTCTTTGAAGAATTAATAAGATAGATAAACCATTAGCCAGCCTTATTAAAAAGAAGAGAGAGAAGACTCAAATTAATAAAATCATGAATGAGAAAGGAGAGATCACTACCAACACCAAGGAAATACAAACAATTTTAAAAACATATTATGAACAGCTCTACGCCAATAAATTAGGCAATCTAGAAGAAATGGACGCATTCCTGGAAAGCCACAAACTACCAAAACTGGAACAGGAAGAAATAGAAAACCTGAACAGGCCAATAACCAGGGAGGAAATTGAAGAAGTCATCAAAAACCTCCCAAGACTCAAAAGTCCAGGGCCAGATGGCTTCCCAGGGGAATTCTATCAAACGTTTAAAGAAGAAACCATACCTATTCTCCTAAAGCTGTTTGGAAAGATAGAAAGAGACGGAGTACTTCCAAATTCGTTCTATGAGGCCAGCATCACCTTAATTCCAAAACCAGACAAAGACTCCACCAAAAAGGAGAATTATAGACCAATATCCCTGATGAACATGGATGCAAAAATTCTCAACAAGATACTAGCCAATAGGATCCAACAGTACATTAAGAAAATTATTCACCATGACCAAGTAGGATTTATCCCCGGGACACAAGACTGGTTCAACACCCTTAAAACAATCAATGTGATTCATCATATCAGCAAGAGAAAAGCCAAGAACCATATGATCCTCTCATTAGATGCAGAGAAAGCCTTTGACAAAATACAGCATCCATTTCTGATCAAAACTCTTCAGAGTGTAGGGATAGAGGGAACATTCCTCAACATCTTAAAAGCCATCTACGAAAAGCCCACAGCAAATATCATTCTCAATGGGGAAGCACTGGGAGCCTTTCCCCTAAGATCAGGAACAAGACAAGGATGTCCACTCTCACGACTGCTATTCAACATAGTACTGGAAGTCCTAGCCTCAGCAATCAGACAACAAAAAGACATTAAAGGCATTCAAATTAGCAAAGAAGAAGTCAAACTGTCCCTCTTCACCGATGACATGATACTGTACATAGAAAACCCCAAAGTCTCCACCCCAAGATTGCTAGAACTCATACAGCAATTTGGTAGCGTGGCAGGATACAAAATCAATGCCCAGAAATCAGTGGCATTTCTATACACTAACAATGTGACTGAAGAAAGAGAAATTAAGGAGTCAATCCCATTTACAATTGCACCCAAAAGCGTAAGATACCTAGTAGTAAACCTAACCAAAGAGGTAAAGGATCTATACCCTAAAAACTATAGAACAC